GGGCCTGGGTTTCAGCTGTCCACACCACAGCAGTGGGCAACGAGCTTAAAGCCCCTGATGGCTCTGGGCACTGACTCTCACCAGTGGCTATGGATGAAGTCACAGGCGATTTTCAGCCAGCGCCGGTCATCAATAGAATTCTGTACAGCAATGAAATTAGCCAATCTAGCTACAGAGACAGAAACAACAGAGAAAAATCTTAAAGACATAGAGTGTGTGAAAGCAGTCAAAAACAATAGGATGCAGGCTCTATAATTTCCCTTCTATAACACAAGAGAATGAGATTATGCATTATTGTCCATAACAAGATACAAAAGGCAGAAAGAAAAGCAAAGACATAAATACATAGCTGAGATAGCATTTCAAAATGAAAGAGAACTATAATGAGTGAGTAAGTGGGAGGGAGAAGGCTTCTGGAATACCGGGTTCCTAGGTAAGGTTACCTTGGACAATTCATTAGCTGCATGTTCATATTTTATACACTTTGAGATATTTACTATGTCACTTGATTATTTTCTTAATCTTTTTATCGTGATTTGAGTGAACGTTTACAGAGCAAATTGGTTTTCTACCCAACTACTCACACACATTTTGCTTCATGATATTAATTATAATCCCTACACTGTAAACAGCACTTTTCCCAGCTTTCTCCCTTTGCTATGTTTCCTGTTTCCATCCGTCCTCCTTTTCTCTCCATTCTGCCTTCTGAGCATTATCTCTTCGTGAATACTGCCCTTTTGCTCTCGCATGGTTGGTTGGTTCTTGTAAGGAGTATACCCACCTGGTGTTATTGATCGCCTACGGGCCTACAACTGTTAGGCTGGAAGTAGAGTCACAGGGTTCAGCTCATTCCCAAGCTTGAAGGACAACTAAGGACGATAGTCTCTGAGATTTCACCCATTCTATCAGATCAGTAGGCCTGGTCTTTCTTACAGTTTCAAGTCTTGTTCCATACTTTTCATCTGCTCTTCCAGGGACCTTCTACTGTGATCCCTTTCAGGGTGGTCAGCAGTGTGGTAGGTGGACACCAGGTGGCTATCATAATGCCAAGGTTATAGACATTATAGACATTGAAGTGGGCTCATTAGTACCATCAGTCCTTTGGAGTCATGGACTTGTGGGGCTTTAAAAAAATATTTTTTTCACTCGTCTTTGCTATGTTGTTGTTGTTATGTGCCATCGAGTCACTTGCGACTCATAGTGACCTTACATACAACAGCCCTGAACCCTGCTCTATCCTGTGCCAATCTCATTGACTCTGACACACCCATCCCGATTACCCCAGTCACTGAATCAATCCGTTTCACAGAGGGTCTTCCTCTCCTGTGCTGTCCCACCACCCTCCCAAGCATGATGTCCCTCTCCAAGTACTGATTCCCGCCTTGCAACATGTCCCAAGTATGCCAGGCGAAGCTTCAGAATCCTTGCCTCCAAGGAACTGCCTAGTTTATCCCTCTCTAGGACAAACCTGGTTCCCTCTTAACATAATCATCTAATCACTCACATAATCAGTCAAGTTTTGTCACACATGTAGATAAATCCTTTTCTTTTATATAATTAGAATTGTACTTTTGTCTTTTACGCCATACTTTTTTCATTTATAAATGTATTTCGGATGTCATCCAACTCGGAATGTATAAACTTGTTGTTGTTGTTCTGTACCATGAAGTCAGGACAAACCCAAAGCTGACTCTCCGGCAGGTTTTCAGAGACAGTAAATTGCATGGTGGAGATATGTACCAGTCTTCAAATACTTCCTTTGTATGGATCTACAAAAAATGATCTTATTGATAAATACTAACCCCTCATGCCCAAAGTCATTCAGGTCATTCCAACTTTTTGTTATTTCTTAACAATTGAGATGAACAGTCTTTATACATTATCTACTTAGGCATTTGCACAAATATATCTTGAAATAAGTTTCAAGAAATGGACTTTTCAAATTTCCAACCATAATTGAATGGCTTGAAAAATTATGGTTCATTCACATGATGGAATACTATGCAGCACGCAGGAGCAATGATTTTGTAAATCACTACCTAACTTGGGAGGAACTGGAGAGCATCATGCTAAGTGGACTAACTCAGTTCCGTAAGGACAAATACTGTATAAGACCATTCTTGTAGAAATAGATAACTAGCAGAACATGTTTGAGGGTCTAAGAGGGGGGATAGGAGAGCAGAGGGGTGGGAATGGGGAAGTAATCATGGGGTTGCACAGTTTGATGGATGGAAGGGGGAGGTTAGAAAGGTGGGGCGGGGATCTGGTGAGGGACAATGTATACAGACTGTGTAGGTAAACCAGTATAAATTTTTAAAAAACAGAATTTCCAGAAATAAAAAAACCCACAAACAAAAAAGAAACACACACCCTCCCTCCACACACACACAGAAATGGACTTTAGAGATCACAACTTAGTGCACTTTACACACACAGATGATAACATCTAATCTGTATTTGCATTTATCTGCTCTGTCATCAGTTATACACACCCGTTTCCCCACAACTTGTCTATCATTGGTTATCATTAAAATTCCTATTTCCTCTAATTTGATGGGTTTTAAAAAAACTTCATTGTTTAAAATGACATTTTCTAACTATGAAAGATCTTGAACTTGAGGTGATATTTTTGTGAACTCAGGTTATGAATTCTGGCTGTTGAATTGACACCATTATTACCTTGTGGCTTATTCAATATAACAAGGATAATATTTTTTTAAATCTCTATATAACTTAAAAGGCATGTCATGTCAAACATGATATCAATTCTCTGTAAATCAGTAATTCACCTCAGGAATATGTAGTGAGTGACAAGGCATTCAGGAAGGATGATGTTACTTACGTTCTACAAAAGGTGCCTTTTCCTCCTGCCTTTTGTTCTGAGTGTCCACAGAGAACTAGAGGTGGCAGAATAGGATCATGAAAGCCTCCAGTCCAGGAGTTAAGGTTTCCTGCTGTGAACCTAACATAGCAAACCCATAAGGTGCCAGTCTAGACAGGCAAAATCACTCCTCCATTCACCAATACTGCATGTCTGGGCTGTGAATGACAGGTAAAAATAGAAGGTCAGGTTTCCAAGGAGGCTTTGTTTCTTGGAATGCATCTTTAGTGTGGAGTTGATTTGTTAAAACAGAGAACATTAACAGCTAACCTAGAGTGGTCACAGGAACAACTAGCACTTGTATAACATCAGGTACCAACTCCCCCAAGGGTTTTGCACATACTCAGTATTATAGCAGTCTCATGAGGGTGGAGGTCAAGTAGCTTGCCTGAGATCACACAGTTAGTAAGTGGCAGAGCCAAAACTTGAACCCAGCTATCCACCCCACAGTTCATATTCTCCTTTAAACATTCTATCCCCTGTAAAGATGGAAGTGTTGCTAGGGATCAAGATTGTTGAGTCTGTTAAAAGAGTAGGAGAAATGAAACACTACAATATATGACTCTGGTGGCCTAGTGGCAAGGAGCTAAGCTGCCATCCCAAAGGCACACAGTTCGAATCTACTAGTTGCTCTGTGGGAAGAAAGATGGGCAACCTCCTTCCATGAGATTTACTGCCTCTGAAAACTCACTAAAGGTTCAGCTTTGAGTCAGTTCTGGCTCAACAGCATGTAACAGCAATATATGGCTGTGACTCTTGGGCTCTGAGAAGTAGAACCCAGCTCTTCCGGTAGTCTTGCAGAATGTCTCCTGTCATCACAGGGCCATTACAATGGCCTGAGGCACTCTGCTACATTTCTAGATCTTCACACAGGAAATGAGAGAAATTTAAAAATTCAAATAATTAAAATACACACTACTAGGTTAGATACCATAATTTGATCACCAAATTATTTTTACATTTTTAAATTAAATTTGATGAAAATTTAATTAAATGACTCTTTGCTTCCATTAGGAACAAGTATTTGTAAACAATCCTGGTCTGAAATTCGCAAACTATGGAAACATTAGTGAGCGTATCGAATTAAGGAAACGATTGGGTTGCAAGTCATTCCAGTGGTATTTGGACACAGTCTTCCCAGAGTTGGAGCCATCTCCGAACAAATTAATGGAGGCAAGCCAATGATTTTCATTAATAAATGGTGAAAGAACCTCTCCTCCTCAACCAAGAAATGTTTAAGAGGACAAGTTTGGAACATCATCAAAATATACGAAATGCAAGGAGAAATGTAGCCAGGTGTGATCTGTAAAAAGAGTGCCTTTTCCTTGTAATGGTAGTTCTTCACTGCCCTGGGGTGACCAGATTATGCATTAGAAACCTAACAGCTAAGACTTTAATGTACAATTAATTAGGGTCAAGTGCATTACCTTCAAATATTTGCCAAACTTCCTTCGTCCTGGTGGAGTATGTAGATTGCTCTGCTTTTGGTGACTCTGCTAACTCAATTTCTCCTCCTACATAAGTAACTCGGATTGGCTAGAAATCTACAGAGAGATTGGCACTGGATTGGACTATACCAAGCTCCTCTTTGGTCAAGATGCAAGTCCTGGTATTGACACTTTGCTGGGCTGGACTCTCGTGTTTCTGGTTTTAAGCTTTTGCCTGGGCTGCTAGCTCAGCTTTGTTGTCCAGTTGCCAGCAAAACCTCACAAATTAAAACAGATTTAACTTTATAATTAT